CTTTTGGCAGCCATATTGCAATATTTACTTTATCCTGTCAATTTACTTAAACTGCAATTTTTAAACATGTACATAATTCTTTTCTTTCTATATTATAGGTAAGACCTTTATATAAAAATATAAAATGACGTACAAGAAATGGCTAAGAAATTTTCTTGAGTCAAATTTCCTTAAGGCAGTACGCAGTTCTTAAGAAATTTACTACGCTTTCTACTACTGTTTTCTAAAGTTTTTTTGTGAAAAAAGAGCACAAGGCAACTCAGGTTTGCAACAGAAATATATGCCCGTTCCATTATTTCTTGAGGAAAGAGTGAGGCAACAGGCTATGAAGTATCAAAAATGTCAAAATTCCTTGGACACACACGCGAAATAATGGCAATTTTTTCTTGACCGTTTTCTTGAGAGCTGCATACAGGGCTTTAGCTATGCACAGGTGAAAACTTTATTCAGTTCCATGCTTAAGTTAAAATTGTTGACTTGGCTTCTTTAGCTCTAATAAAGACCCCCAATATTAAATTTCTTTCATATCTATAATGTACAGACATCGGTCTGCTACAGTGTTATATTATATGTACCTACATATAGGTGTTTTCTTGCATATATTTCGGTTACTGGCAAGTTACTGGATATTTTTTGATGGAGAAAACGAAAGCACAACTAATGCCAATGGAATTAATGTCAATCCGGGATGGAATTTGAAAATGTGCCTAATGGTCTTTAAAAATAATAAAGAAGATGAAAGTGCCACAAAATTAAAATTTCTGTCTTTTAAGGCCTTTTAAGAAATATTATTTTTAAAATACACTGAGGTAATATAATATTTATTAATTAACCAAGTTATTGCAGTAAGTCATTTTGATGAATTATTCCTTAGACATACATATATACATAAATTTATAGCAAGATAACACAGTATTCTAATTAGGAAGGGGAAATATTTACATCGAAATATAGCTATTCTTACGTGTTTACACATATGTATATCTACCTATATACGAAATAATGGCAGTGATACATTTTGACCAGTTTCACCAATTGATTAATTTTTTATTGATTTTATATAAAAGTCCAACTCATAATTTAACAAACAGGATATATGTACATATGTTGTTGCGGAAACTTCCTTTTTTTTTGTCAAGAGCTGCGACACAATATACTCACGGCCCTTATTTTAATTTTTTAGTGCTTTTAATTTCCACTTTTTGTAATTTTTTAATCTATAATGTAGTATGTGATTTTTTGTTATATATTGGATTATTACGATAATACTATGTCTCCATTGTGAGATTTAATGAAGATTTAGCCCTCTGACGAGATTTGACGTCAAATCTTTTGAGATTTACCATATAAAATTAAATCACGAAAGGCAGTAGATTTAAGTTAAATCTTCGTCAAATCTTCAATAATATTGATCAATAAGTACAATTTGTTGGATGTGGCAACCACAAATTCACATGCTATAAGTCAAATGACATTTGTGATTTCAATATACAGTTGAGGACATTGAAATCTAGCCTATCATAAAAACATGAATTTTCGTATTTCTAGGGATTTTTATATTTTTGTTAGTTTGGGAGGAAAATTAGTAATACATATTTACATAACTTTGGTTGTAATAAATTAAGAAAATATTATTTTAAAAACTAAAAATTTAGAAGAAATGTTTTATAGTAATATCATGCAGTCTTCTCCGCTTTCTATAAGTCATTTACGCGCTGCGACAAAAAATTTATAAATTTCGGTAATGGTTCTGCTTCGATAACATTGCACCGAACATCCTCTAGAACTCAGTTCGTATTCATGATATGCCAAAGGCCCACGATTGGATTTTCGGTTCCCTCCTCTATGAATAAGAGAGTTCTAAAAAAATTTTTCTACAAAAATTTTTCTTTCCGCGAATGTTTTTTACCGTTTTGATAATTTTTCTTAAATTCGGGAAAATGATTCGGAATATGGTACTATCTTTACACTTTCCAAACTATATATTATACATACATATTTACCACGAATAAGAAGCCAATAATATTCAGAATTCATATAATGAAATTCCGCTTGGTACCTTCCTTTTATCTGTCTGTATATCAATGTCCGCAACTGTATTTATAAAATCATACATAAGCAAACGTCAAATATTTAAAAATGTGAACGTCAAACATACCTCGTTGTGGTAATGGAGACGGTTGTGATTTAGCAACTGGATTTATTAAATCTTAATGGATAAATCTCTCAATAGAGACATAGTATAAGGTTCTATAACTTATGATTGTGCCAAAACAGGATGAATTGTGACAAAAGTGCCTCTGAGAATGAAAGTGCCAAAAATGGCACTATTGTGCCTACTTTTCCATCACTGATGTCAATTGACATAAATTCACTTTTGTAAGGGAATTAATGTAAATGACATTAGTACACAGGTCAAAAGTGAATGTGGACCGCAGTGGTGTTATGCACTTTTAAAGCTGTGTCCTATGCACATGTCATACATACATATATGTATGTATGTTGAAAAGTGGATTTTTTTTTGAAAGAGCAGTAACGTTCATGGACTTTACTGCGCTTTCGAAAAGGTAATTATGTATATGGATGATAAGATATCGATACCTGAGTGGAAGATCGACTCTTCTCGGCAGCCAGTTAGAAAACGCCCTATCCCAGAAAACTTTTCAAAAACGCCATACTTCATAATTCGATTGAAGAACTCCCTATTTCAGAATTTGATTGAAAAACGCCCTATCTCAGAATTTGGTTTAAGAACGCCCAATATCAGGTGCCGATTCAAAAACGTCCTATCTCAGCATATTTTCAATGTATTTTCAGCTAGGGCGTTTTTCAACCGAATTCTGAGATAGGGCATTTTTCAATAAAATTCTGAGATAGGGCGTTCTTCTATCAAATTCTGAAGTAGGGCATTATTGAAAAGTTTTCTGAGATAGGGCGTTTTCGAACTGGCTGCCGAGAAAGGTCGATCTTACACTCAGGTATCGATGTGACCTTATTTCCTCTGACTTTATTAAATTTTTACATTTCTGACATTAATTCACTTTTCATTTGTGTATTAATTGCAAGATCTTAAAAAATATTTTTTTGGCCTTCTCCGAAGTGAACTAATGTGAATAACATTATTTCCGCAATTCTTCTGACATTATTGCACATCACCAGTGTAGCCAGAACTTTTTAGACCAACCGGCTAAATTGGCAAAAAAAAAAACGGCTAAAAACGGCTAAACTGTTTCAACTAAATTTTCCATGTTTTATTTAAAGAAATCATAAGTAGAAAGACTAGTTCTTGGAGAGAAGTTGCAAATTCAAGCTAGAAAAAATTTTGCCAGCAAGAATTTGAAATTAGGAAAAACATAAGATTGTGGCACATGGTTGCATTTTTTGTCGACGATAATTTGAATAAACAGGTTCGTCAAATTTAAAAATTTACAAGCTTGGGCGATTTTAAAATGAAAAATTTAAGTAAATACTTGTTTACTTAATTAATTTAGTTAATTCCAATGATTTGAAACGTACACGGAATGCAATCTCAACCAGAGTCGATATAGGAAACCCGACAGTTACTACGGCAAAAAAATTTAAACGTATGTTGAAGAAAGTCGGACTAACAAGAAATATACATGTAGATCCCGTTTTTTGTCCCTCTGAAAGAATTTTAAAAATTCTATACAAATTTCTTATGTTTGAAATGCAACCGTGGACACTAGCTGGCAGGGAAACTTGCAAGTTCCTGCAAATTTTCGTTCGTGCAAAAATCTTCAAGTTTCTCTACTTGAGAGAGAATTTGGGAGCATTTTTCTTACTAATTGATATTTTGAGTGATAATTTTCGCTGGATTTTCGACGAACAAACCTATTGTCTTCCCAGAGAGTTTTGCTTTACATAGAAATTTGTGTTCTTTTACTTTCATTTTGACGCATTTCAGTGTTGGTTCTTTTAATTAAAGTTGGCCTTCGGTTTTTGGAATTTAAATAAGTTCTCAGCAAAAAAAGTTAGTTTAAATAAATCCATATGTATATATAGTGCTTGAAAATATCAATTTTTCCCTTACCTTACAACTTTAAGCAACATTGATGTTTTATAATTAAGGCAAAATTGAATACGCGCTATCTGGGAAGACAATACCTGTAACATTTATACTTAGCACTACATATGTATGTATATCCAAACACAAACGCGTTTTAAGCAATCAATTTGTTATTTTCTAAGTTTGCGAATAGAACTTCACACTTAAATTTAAGTCATTCATAACAAACATTTTATGAAGAAAAAATATATTCGTTTAAAATAAAAATAAGCGAAATCGGCCCAATTTCATATAACTCTGCCTCCGCGATAAGGCTAGTAGCCATTTCTAACAGATTTTGGATCTCTTAGGCAAAAATGGAAACATATATACTTGAATTTTAAGAAAACAAGGTAAATAGCAAAATCGGCTAAAAACGCAATTTTTTTTTTTACAAAACGGCTAACAAATCCGCTTCCGGCTAAACCGAAATTTCTCCGGCTGTTTGCTATCACAACCGGCTAAATCTAGCCGTAAAACGGCTAAAATGGCAACACTGCACGTCACCTATGTGTTCCAATGACGGAGTTTACACAACGGCAACTTTTGCTCCAAAATACAGTAATTGTGCATATTAAGGAACTCGTTCGAATATTTACCACACCTCGCCTGCTTGAGCAGCCCTTAAGGCGAACTAGAGCACAAAATTGGGTGACAGAGCATGGGCGACTCAGTGATTCTCTCTTTTCCTCGTCGATTTCTCCTCTACAAATTACCAGTTGCCGTAACGAAAGGTGCCCAGTGTAAACTGCATCAAGAAGAAGAGAAGATTTATCAGATCTTAGTATTAGAGAATACGTTTTTCTATTATTGCGCAGACCACGAATCGATCTTGGGTCTTACAACCACTCGACTACGGTCAAAAATGTTTTAGAAAATTTATCTAGGATTTTTTCATTTACATAGTATCTTAATTGATTATCCAAAATTACAGAGTCATCATGTTTGAGGTATCAACTTTCAACTGAAGGATCATGAATAATAATGATCGGAAGGAACAAACGAGTGACCCATCAGCTCCTCTCGAAACACCGAAAACTAACAATATAAAACCGTCAAAGGAGACTGAAAATGGCACAGAGAACCAACGCGGTAAGAATTGTTTTGTTGCAAATTATTTTCAAACACATTAAGTTTGTGCATATTTACATATGCATATATATTGATTCAATAATTAACGGTTTTGTAATAAAGCAGGTTTCTCGTTTCCACATAAGAAATCGGCTCCTTTACTGATGAAGGATGTTGCTAACTGTACAGTTTCTAGTTATACTAAAAATATGTATAATACATAATAATAATAATAGATTAGCGCTTACACATATGTTAGTGTTTGGCCGAGATTCTCCTGCGATCTGTGGCATGCGCCTTGATGTTGTCACACAAAGGGGGAGGGACCTACAGTTATACGCCGACTCCGAATGGCGATTGTATTTTTATGAGAAGCTGTTTTTAATGCAACAAATAAACTCGGACGTTTGTTATTGCCTGCCGAGGCCCGACAGCTATCAGAAAAAGCTTTTTTGTTTTTTTTTTAATTCTTAATATTGGGTTGAACCGGGTTTGAACCCAGCCACTGAGGAATGGTAGCGCAGACTGTTAACCGCTACACCACAGCGGCGTTTCTAGTTATATTATTAGTAAAACTAAACTTCTTCATACTAAAAATTCGTTGGCATCACTGACTCGATCACGTCGTTGGAACAAGTTAAGAATACTAACCGTTTACCTACACAAAAAAAAACCAACGATGCGGATCGATAGAACCATACAGAGTAGGGATGTTGCGAATGTGGAATTTTAGACATCCGCGGATTCGGATGTTTAAAAGCTAACATCTGCGGATGCGAATGCGAACGCGGATGTCAAATATTTTTAAGATATTTAATTTTGGTGAGTACATTAGGTGATTTAGGTAAATAAAAAATGGAAAAGTTACTAATTTGTAATACTTTTTTATTTTTTTTATTTAGTACTTCAATTATAAAATTGGAACATTGTATTTAAGAAAGAGTAATTTTGTTGCCTTTTCGGGTTACAGCCTGATTCCTAACGGGTCGTAAATCAAACCTGCGCCACTAAATAACTATTCGCTCGAGGCGACACACTTGAAACTTGACAAAATTGTAAATTCTTTTCGATTGACGCTGCACCAGTTGAGGGGACTTTAAGTTATGTTTCTTTTTTTATTGCGGTGCAACAGTTCCTTTTTGGGAATTGCATCGGGGCTGCAAATGTCGGATGTATCCTCCTGACTTTCATCTTCACGATCTAGCATCATGGCAATGGCCTGGAGCATCAATTCTTTTGATTGTTTCAGAATTTGGAGAACCTGTTACGTCATCAGCGTTTTTTCGATTTTAGTTTTTGTACTTCATTTTTAACCCTGTCTTCTCTGACTGGTTTGAAAAATGTGCGCCTATAGCGAGGTTGTGAATAGGTGGATATGGCGAATAAATTGTTAGTTTCTAGGAATGAAAATTTCGAAGAAAATTCTGTTTTTAAAGTCGCGGCTGCCAGCAGGAATAGTTTAAAATCTTGTTATTTTGTTAAAAAGATACCCCGTTTTTTATAATAATTTGAATTATGGAATCACGGACGATAAAGGTCTCAGATTTGCTTAGTTCTCGGGTGACTCCTTGGAAAGGTTCGCCTGTAATGAATACCTTGTAATTAGTTTTTTGTTTTTATTAGTTATTTGAGCTTCCTAGTTGCAGGCAGTCACAATTAATTACTCACCGCTGTCGGTACCATAAGCTATCAAATCTGTTTTGTTGTTCCATTCCATGCGCTCAATGTGTTTTGATATATTTTTTGAGGGGAATGAGCGCAAATTTCCCACATATATATATCGCTAATACTATTTTAAGAGGGCTTATTACACATTGTTGCTGAAATGCAAAAAATCAGAACTAACTAAATTTTTGTATTGCCTAAAACGATGTGGGAACTTATGATTCGATGAAATGCATCAATCAAAAAGTTAATTTTGGATTTTTAGTTAGTTACGGCTTTTTGAATTTCAGCTACGATGTGAGTTAAGCCCTTTCCATACTATACTAACCATATATTACATGCCAAGTCCCACGCCTCAATAGATATAAAATTCACCTTGAATTATTTCTTATTTAATTTGTGAACTTGGCTGTCGACTTATTTACATACCATTTTATCTTTATTTCGATGCGTGCTAATTTTGACAATTTACACAAAATTAAAATAAATGATTTGTTTTCGAGCTGAAAGACTAATAGAAGGAAACACGAAACTTAAGAATAATAAGTTTTATGAGGAAAAAATTATTACAGTAAGAAAACAACTAGAGGTGCATCCAGTTTATTCAACAGACCTTTGACAAATAATATTCGATTCTCTTTATAGCCAGCCGTTGAACATTTCCGCTGGAAATACCTACTATTATCTTACGTTTTGACTTTAAATTACGAAAGAGGGTAGACGTAGGGGACAGTCTTACCGTAGCATCTCTACAGGCAAAAAATATTGGCTAAAATTTTTGTTTGCCAGATACGTTTTAACAGTGCATTTGTACAATATTCGCATTCGCAAAAGCTCCGCATTGATTATTGCGAATGCGAAAGCGAATGCGAATGTCATAATTTATGCGGAGGTTCCGCGGTTGCGAATGCGAATGCGACCCTGATACAGAGCTAGGCGATAAGGATTACGATTACTAAACGATTTGGATTGCAGTAATCCCAACAAGCTAAAAAAACAAGATTACGATTACAGTAATCCTTCATCGAACGAACTTAGATTACGATTACAGTAATCGTAATTTTAAAAAAGTTAAAATTACGATCACTGTAATCGTAATCCAAGTTCGTTCGATGAACGATTACTTTAATTGTAATCCTGTGTTGTTTTTTTTCCGGTTATACAAAGTTTATTTCGCCCAAACGACTTTACTTTTTATTTTTATTTTAATATTAGTTTCTTTTATTTGTCTGTTTGTTTTTAGATAAATACCTATTATCCTCATATTATCGTTAAGCGCATTTATATTTCGCACATTTATAGAATAACTTCGTTTAAGATTACTCAAAAGATTGTAATTAGAAAAACTGTAAATTTAAAATAATTGTAATCATTCATCGAACGAACTTAGATTACGATTACTTATTAGACAACACCTTTATGAGCCTCAAAGAAAATTTCAACATTGACATCAAGTTCATTGTCAAGTACGTAGACGATATATTTGCTATTATAAAACGAAACGACGCGGATATAATTCTTAAAACACTCAACGAATATCATCCTAAATTGCAATTCACGATGGAATCAGAGAACAATTTACGTATACCTTTTTTGGATGTCATGATCCACCGAAAAAGTAACGTCATTCTTCTTGACTGGTACTCAAAGCCTACTTCCTCTGGGCGTCTAATAAATTACTTATCTTCGCAACCTTTGAAATACAAAATTAACACAGCTAGAAATCTAATCCACAAAGTACTAACGATAAGTCACCAACAATTTAGAGACACGAACATAAAGAAAATAAACAAAATTCTGGTAAGCAACAACTACCCACACCACTTAATACAAAGCCTAATAAAACAGAAAACGTCAGAAATAAACAACGAAATTAAGAGAGTACCGGACACGAAAACACCCAATGACAACAAGCGATATTATAGTGTCACATACATCCCTCGCTTTTACCAACAATTTAACGATGACATAAACACCAACAACCTTAATGTAACGTTGGCGTACCGATCAAACTGCACACTTTCTTCGATCTTTACCAAAACAAAAACGCCACTACCGCCCCAGCAGCAAAGCAACGTGGTATACGAAATAACTTGCAAAGGAAGCAAAAACGAAAACTGCAACAAAGTTTATATAGGAACGACTAAGAGAGCATTGGGCGTTCGTCTGTCAGAGCACGAAGCAGATATAAAGAAAAATAAGCAAAGCACAGCTTTGGCGCAACACATACAAGATAGTGGTCACCAGAGAACAGCTTTGAGTATGATCGAGCCTTTTTGATCACACTCACTAAAAATCAAGCACAAGCGAACGCCACACTCGGCTACTATGTGTTCGATTGAGATGCATACCCGACAGCTGCTTTGGTTACGAACGAGTCTGTTCGATCACCCTCGCTATAAATTGAGCACAAGCGAACACTACACTCGGACACCCGCAGCTAACCCGAAAATTTGTGTAACAATGAAACGGACACCCGAACATTGCGATAAAATGCAGGACAACAAAGAAATTTACGCTGAAGGTAACTGGCGCCAATATGTTCCCACAAAGCATACGAAAATGTTGTTGCTTTGTGCTTGTGCATACGCAATGAAAAAATTAGAAGCGAAGTAGACAAAAATGTGTTTGCATCTATTTCGTATAGTTTCGCGTGGAAAGCTGTGTGTGTATATATTAGAACACAGCCTAAAACTATGTAGGTACATAAATACTTTTACAAAAAATAAATGTGCTCCGAGTGTATAGGGCTTGGGCATTGCCGATCTACACACATTTATACCTAAATGGATGCAGGCGTCGTGATGCCGCGTTTTGTATGAGCAAAAATATAAGAAATGGTTAAATGTACACTTAAACAAACTACCGAAAAATTCAACCTTCTCTTTACCCTCTACGCACAAAAACTAAGAGCACCGCGATGAGAAGGCAACATTTTTTGTAGAAACAAAAACGTCATAAGCCAATCAAGAAAATTTTGTGCACACTCGGGTTGAAACTCGAACACCCGGGTATATTGAGCTGCAAAGCACCCGAACCCAATCAAGTATGTATGAAAAGCAATCGGGTGTTGTGGCCAACATGTTCGTCTTGAGCTCAGTCGATAACGAACAATACTTCTGCTCGTATACAGAGAACGATGCAAAGCGGGTTTTGTTAGATGATCGAGTATACACGAAAATCATGCACCCGCTGCAGATGTCTGGTGGGAACATATTGGCGCCAGTTACCTTCAGCGTAAATTTCTTTGTTGTCCTGCATTTTATCGCAATGTTCGGGTGTCCGTTTCATTGTTACACAAATTTTCGGGTTAGCTGCGGGTGTCCGAGTGTGGTGTTCGCTTGTGCTCAATTTAT